TTGAGATACCTCATTGTGATAGCATTCTAGAACTTGCTCTGTTTCTCTGTGATACATGCATTAATTGAAATGATTAAGGCAATTTTATTATTGTTAGCCATGGCCAAATTGCCCACCTGTTTGATTTTTTCATTGTTAACCCCTTTGAGCCTGGGCCTATTTTTTCATGATTCCTGCTAATTGCTTAGCCATATTCTTATTGTCTTACCTTTGTTGAGATTGAAATGTTTGATAAGAAAAGAAAATCAATTGAGGTAAGCTCCACTAAAGCTAAGTAGTATCTTTCTAAAAAAAAATTAATTATATCAAGATAGAGAGAAAGTGTATATAGCAATGTGAAAAAAATGGGAAAATAAAAAGGATGGATCCCTAATCTTAAAGAATAGTGGAGCTTAAATTTGTTTGAGATTGATTGTTTTGCAAATGTATATCAGTGTTTCAATCTCAACTTATAATTTAACTACTTCCCATAATTTCCTACCCCTAAGCCAGACCAAGTTACATCCATGTGAAGTCCTTTTGATCAATTGTGCATGCGTTAATGTTCCTCATCTTTAGGAACTTGAGAATATGATCAAGCTTATGGTAGTGCTATTGCTGTGGTGGATTGAGTGATTGTTATTCCCTCAAACACTTGAGTGTTGAGTGTCATATGTTATCTTAGTGAGGGGTGTTCAAGTTAGATTCTAACATTTTCGTGAGAATAGAAGGCATTGTTAGGAGTTCTTTGCATTGATTCAGTCATGCTTAGCCTAGTGATCTATTGATTGTCTGTGTGATGTTGTGCAAGATTGTTGGTTTTGGTTTTTCTATGTTTGGATCTTGTTTGTTGCTGGGGACAACAACGTTTAAATCTGGGAATGGTTTGATGTGCCTCTGGCATATGTAGTTTTCCAAGCTAAAAATGATAAGGATTAAGTCATAAAAGAGCAGTTTATTTACATACTTGCTTATTATGTTGGCTTTTCCATTTCAATGATATGGCGCGATCGTGCGCCAACCAGATTCCCCTGGGCCACTTACCAGAGAAGTGGTGCGATATGGCGCCATTGTGGCGCGATCCTACGCCAGTTAGGTTGCAGGCCTACGTTCCAGAGAAGTGGCGCGGTTCCGCTCCATAGTGGCGCGATCCCGCGCCAGTTTGCGAGAAAAATTACCGTGTTCTGAAAGGGCAATTTTGGAAGAAGCAAACCAGGATTATAAAAAGAACGTTGTGAGGGTTTATTCAAGACACTTTTTGACGACAGAGAAAAACAAGGATTCCAGAAGGAGGAGAGGAACAGAGGATTGTTCTTAGTCTTCTCTTTGTAATACATACTGACATCTTTATCTTGTAGAATTTTATGTCATCCATGATCATGGTTGGCTAGTACTCTTTATTGTAGTTAGAGTCACAAACCGTATATGAACCCTTGTTACAACAGATTGATTTATAATTACTCTTTTATATATTTACATTTATCTCTACTCTGTGCGTAATTTCTATCTTCTTTGTTAGAATTGATCAATCTAATAGTTGATGATAATTTGAGGGAAAGAACCCTAAATAGGAATATTGAGGTTTTTGATCTTAAAAGGGAGTAGGATAATAATTTATTGCGTTCATTGCTTAATTCTTTGAGGAACATTGCAAGGAATTGAAGTTCTAATTAGGGTTAAAGGGTTAACCTTGCAAGGAATTGAGGGTTAGCTGTTTAATTTTTTTAGATGATAAATTATCTGAGTATTTATTTAAATGAGTATTTTAAATCAATCCAGAGTAAAAGGTGGGATCATATGGTGAGTGCACTCTAGCTACAATGCTTTTTTATATTTTATAAAATCAATCTCTGTTTTATTTTTCATAACAAAAATTCAAAAATACGTTTTTATCTTAGTTCTTATTGTTAATCAAATCCACAATATTTTTCACATCTATTTGAATCATTTCTGTCTTAAAAGGAACGATTATTTGATATTCGATCACAATCCCTGTGGAGACGATACTTTTCTTATCATTATATTACTTGTGCGATCGGTGTTTTATGATTTTTTATGTATTTTTTTGTTTTGAAAGTTAAAAGTCAAAATACAAAATAAAAACAACTAAGATATATTTTCTAAATTAGATTCTAAAAATTAAAAAACAGTTATAATTTTTAAAATTATTTATACAAAACATGACATCATCAAACAAAGTTTTTTTTTCTGAAAATAAAAAAACTAGAAAACTTTTAGGAAATCAATGCCATATTGAAGGGCCAAAGGGTTTGGTAAATACTGGCAATTACCGTAATATTTTAATACATGTACAGGGTGGCACACTCCCTTATAATAGCCAATTCTAACGGTACGTCTCAATCGGAGGATATTGCATCAGAGACTCAAATCGTTGTAGCTTTAGATATATTGGCTTTCAATTTAATTTAACGAATTCAGCGTCCAGTCAATAAAACAATGTACGTATAAAAGATATTTTGATTAACAACTAACAAAGTTGAATTCAAAGTTTATTTTTTTATGCAAAAAAGTTTAAATCGAAATTAAGTAATATACCAACTAACACAGTTGAATTCAAATTTTATATCAACCAAAATTTAAATATGGCTTGTGATAAGTCCATTGTTTGTGACTTAGAACATGTAATTTGATATTAAAATGGGAGTGAAAAGAATATCCTTGTTAATAAAAAAAACTCCAAAAATTGCATTGAAGTGAATTTTTCTGATTTTGATATTAATGGGCTGATTTTATATGTTCAGGCCCAATTGGTGTTAATTCTCCATGCAGAAAAAGAGTGAAGAAAAATTGGGCAAATGCTTTGATCAGAAGCCCAAAAATGAGAAAGCAAATCAGAAAAGAAGATGGGCCAGAGGAATTAAAACCCAATCAAGTGGCCCAAAAGAAGAAAATAGAAGAGGAGAGAAAGAAGTCAGCATGAGAAAAAGAAAAAAAATACAGGGAAGTGATGGGCCGGACCTAAAAAGCCCAAAAGGAAAGGAAGAAAGAAAGCCAGATGAAGAAAAATCAAAAGGAAAGGAAGAGACAGAGTCAGAAACGAGAAAGGGCTGCTAGAAAACCCTAGCACACAACCGACCAAAGTTCCTGACCACAAAGCGATTTGCAAAGCCAAACCGTTCTTTGTATTTGGTTTATTTGTCAAGATAAACCCTCAATCACGGTTCATTGAAAGATTAACCAAACCCTAGACACCCTTTCCTCATACAGAAAACGTCAAAACAACAACCCCTTGCTGAGTGGATGAGCTGGATACTTTTTGAGAGTGGAGACTGGAGCGATTTGTGGGCGCAAGTTTACGTACGGGGTGAAGGAGCAACAATCCATTTAGATTGTCTGAGGAGGGAGCTGTTGGGGACCACCGGTGTGTAACGCGCAAGGAGCGCGTGTATACCTGCTGAGCTGGAGAGGAAAATCGTGCAAAGAAGGAAAGGAACCCTATAAAAAGGGAAAGAGGAGTGAGTCAAAAGGACCCTTTTTTCCCACTCCTGATTTCTGATTTATCGTTTTTCTTAGTTTTTTGTTTTCTGAACAATTTTTATTTTCTATTAATTTCTGTTTTGTAATGAGATTCTGGTTCATTTGATGAACTTGATGCATGTCTTTACAGCACTGAGATTGCCGGTTGTTAGGCCAGTGCTGTAATTTTAGTTTTTAGAATTTGTATTTTGTGATTTCTGTAGTCTCTGTTACTGTGTGTAAGCCTCATCCATATGGATAGTGGCTAACTTTATAGAGGTTGGGTTTTGGTGATACCCAAAGCCTCAGTGCTTGTTAGATCTTTGATTTTCTGGTTTTAATTGTTATATCTCAGTTGTTTAATGCTGTTTCTAATGTTAAAAATTATCTGCATTTTGGCCAAATGTCAGATGTTTGGTTAGGATTTAGTTGTTGAGAAACAATTAATTCTGGATTCTGCATTAGACACATGGACTTAGATGAGAAATCATCTAAGGGATCTCAATTCAGAAATGAATGAGTCCTCATGTAATATTGGACCTGAATCTCAAGAGTCCTAACCCCACTTGGCATAGAGATATGGAAGTGGGCAACTTTGGGATAAAATAATTTTTAAGAGATTAAAAATTAACAATACAGCCCTGTTAACTGAGAATCTTAGAATGAGCTTTTTGTTAATCAAATTATTTTTCAAGCACTGTGGGGAAGGAGAACCAGAACTCAACCCACCTTTTTAAACCTCTTTATCAATTCAGATTTTCCAATTTCCTTTGTTATTTCATAGTTCAATCTATATTCTGTTTTCAAAATTTTTGTCGCATCTGTCATTTAAGTTGCTTAATTCTTCATTCTTATTTTATAACTTAGGAAAGTAATTCAGAAAATTTTAAAAGAAAAGTGAACAGTAGTGTTTTAGGTCCATTCTAAATTATTTTTACTTTACAATTTTATTTCTTTTATTTTCAAATAGTAACTCAATTTTAAGCAATTACAAATTTTAGTCATTTCAAAACGCCAACGATCCTTGTGGGAACGATAACTGGGACTTATAACAGCCCTATATTACTTGTTGTCGCGTATACTTGCGCGCATTACTTGCACAACTGTTAGCAAGGCAACAAGTTTTTGGCGCCGTTGCCGGGGATCGAGGCGTATATGATCAAGTTTCTGTGTGATTGCTATTTTTGAACTGCTTCTTTTTGCTGTTTTTAGTGTAGCTCATTTGAATTCTGTGTCAGTTTTGTTTAGATATTAGTTCTATAGTATCTTGAATATTGGTAGTTTAAAATCTGTTCTGTTCATATTCTGTTTATTTTATGTCATTTAATTTTTCTTAGTTTCATTTTTATTTTAATTATTAGTTCCACCCTGTGTGAGGGTGAGTTATTACTGCCTTATAAAGCCGTCAGGCTGTGAACTGTCTTGGGACTTTTCTGCTTGCAGGTTCTTGTGTGTTTATTTTTTGCTTGTTCTGCATAAAAGTTGGTTAGTAATCTAGGTGTTTTAACTAAGCCAGGTTTACCTGTTTTAGTTAAAAGGGGTGCATGAGTGCAACTCCACACCCGTTCATATATTCAATTGACCCGGAACCTGAAAGGACATTTAGAGTTAGGAGAAGAGCTCAGATAGCACATAGGCAAATTCCACTTCTAGAAATTGAAGAAATGGAAGATTTAGGAAGTGTAAATGGGAATGATGGGGTAGGAGGACCTGCAAGGATAAGGGAACCACCTGTTATAAATGATAATGATAGGTCCATGATGGACTTCATCATACCTGTGTTGGATGAGTTAGATCCAAGCATAGCCCAACCTGTGAATGGAGTGCCCTTCAAATTAGAACCGGTGATGTTCACCATGCTTCAAAACATGGGGCAGTTTCATGGGTTGTTGATGGAAGACCCACACAAGCACCTTAGAAATTTCATAGAAGTGGCCAACACTTTTAGGAATCCTAACATCTTGGATGATGTGTTAAGATTGAAGCTCTTCCCTCATTCACTGGCTGACAAAGCCAAAGAATGGTTGAACTCCCTTCCATCCAACTCTATAACCAATTGGCACACCCTTGCTGAGAAATTCATTATGAAATATTTCCCCTCTAATAAGATAGTGCAAACTAGAGGTGATATTGCTAACTTCATGCAGAGGGATGGAGAGACACTAGTGGATGTGTGGGAGAGGTACAAGAACCTTCTTAAGCAATGCCCAAATCATGGTTTGCCCTCTTGGGCAGTGTTACAAACCCTGTACAATGGCTTAAATACTCAAAACAGGGCCTTGGCAGATTCTGCTGCTAATGGCATGTTTATGACTATGTCCTTTAACCAAGCCCATGAGTTGTTAGAACAAATGACTCAAAATTATGCCCAATGGCCTGAAGAAAGAAATCAGCCAAGAAGAGTGGCTGGTTTACATGAGATAGACCCTGTAACAGCTCTTTCAGCCAAGTTTGATGCACTGTCCAATTTAGTGAGAACCCAAGGACAAACCATTGAGGCAAGATTATCTCAATCCCAAGTCCCTGCACCTCAAATACCTGTGACCCAACCTCAAGTTAATGCAATAAACACAAGTGTAACTTGTGTTTGCTGTGGTGGGCCCCATTTGTATGATAGCTGCCCATCCAACCCAGAATCTGTGTTTTATGTGGGAAACCAAAATAGAAACCAAAATATTTTTCCCAATAACTTTAACCAGGGATGGAGGCAGAACCAACAGCCTCAATATTTTCAAGGGCAGGGGCAGCAAGCTGGTCCTTCTAATGCTCAAACAAAAATACCTTTTCCTACCCAGAATTACCAACAAACTTCAAGGCAGCAAGCTGTTGTTCAACCTAGTGAGATGCCCATGGCTCCATCCTCTTCTTTAGAAGCTTTGTTAAGGGAATATTTGGTTAAGAATGATACCAAGCAAAACAGCTTGGAAGCTGTTGTGCAAAGTATTCCAGCATCCTTAAGGAACATAGAATCCCAACTAGGCCATTTAGCAAACACTATGAATACCAGACCTCCTGGTACCTTGCCGAGTAACACTGAAGAACCTAGGAGAAATAAAGAGCAATGCAATATGATAGAGCTTAGAAATGGCAGATCTGTAAATCAGCCAGAAGCTGTGGTTAGACCTTCCACATTAAAAAAAGAAGAAGGGGAGAACATGCAGAAAGAAAAGGATGCAAATTCTGAACCTGTTCAGAATTCTGTTGTTCATAATAGCCCCCAAGGGGTTGTGCACAATAACTCTTCACCCACTTTGGTCGAATCAGACACTCAGCCCTCTATAGATGAGCC